AGCATTGGGCATCCCCCGAGCAAGCGGGCCCGGGGCTTCTCCGAGGCCGCCGTCCCGGACCCCGAAGACCCGTTCAGCGCGCACGGGGACTTCACTGCGGACGACTTGGAGGAGCTCGACATCCTGGCGTCACAGGCCATGAGCCAGTGCCCGGCCGCGGCTCGGGACGTGTCCAGTGAGTGCTCCTGGGGCCTTTCCCCAGAGGGTAGTGCAGGCCGAGCCACAGCCTTGTGACGACTGTGGCTTCGGAACCCCATGGCTAGGGCTACCCCGATGTCTTGCACACCTGACACTCTCCTTCGCTCTTTTAAAAAATACAGGAACACCCTGATTTGAACGGTGGCTGTGTTCCAAAAGGTCTTTTGGTTTAGGAGAGAAATGTATCAGGAATGTCAAATACCGAAAGCTGGGTTAACATTTTACAGTGTTTTCTAAAGTTTAGGGCTATCTGTTCTTGATTCTAAGCAGAGGTCCTTAGAACACAGTGACCACTACCATCAGATCCAGCCCTACCCACACTCCGGAACACATTCTTGGGACAGCTTTGAGATGCTTCAGATCTTATGAAGCTTTCACTGTCTTCCTTGAGCAGTAAGAGTTTAGGAGGGGGCTGACAGGTACAAGAGAGGAAAGAAATGTATCCTTTTGTATGGACTGCTAGGTGTTCAAACATTAGGAACCGAAGCAAGTCAATGAACAAAATACAAAAACTCCTTCCTTCAGAGAGTTTACATTCTAGTTGGGGCAGGAGGGAGGCCTTGTGGGGCTACTAGAAAGAGACAGGTTTTAAGGACACCTTGCCTCTGCCCTTGAATGTCCCACAGACATCTTTAACTCTACATGATCATTTCCTGGAAACTCAGTCCTCCTGCATCTCCAACCTGGTGCCTGGCAAAGCAGACGTTCAGAAAACACTTGTTGCTGCCCAGATGTCCCACAGGGCAGTGACCAGCAACACTCCAGGCCGTGGCACAAGGCGACTCCTCTCCTTTTTCCTGGCCCCACACCTGCAGTAGTCCACCTTGATCAGTAGCACAGACTTTTCCAAGACCCCCAGTGGGTGCCCGAAGCTGCCGATAGTACCAAGCCCTATATGATTTTTCCTGCACACACACACCTATGATAAAGCATAATTTCTAAATTAGGCACAGTAAGAGATAAACAACAAAAAGAAAAAAATAGAACAGTTATAACAACGTGCCAGGGGCATTGCTCTTGCACTTTGGGGCTATTAAGTACAATAAGGTTATTAGGAACACGATCGCTGGGATACCTTGACAGTTGAGTTGATACCCAAGATGGCTACCAAGTGACTAATGGGGGGGGTAACACATACAGCACTGAGAGGCTGGACAGCAGGATCACTCACTTCCCAAGCGGGATGGAGTGTGATGCCTCAAGATTTCACCGTGGTACTCAAAATGGCACACAGATCAAAGTTACAAATTGCAAGGGCCGGCAGGTGGTATAGTGGTTAAGGAGCTGGACTGTCATGTGGCCAATCTGGTTCAAGTCCCGAGTCTGGGGGCTTGAAAATCATGCCTGGCATGTGTGTGTGCACGAGCCAAAAATCCAGGGGGAGAAGGGATTGGGGCGTGGCCAACCCCCTGGGAGGTGATTTCTCATTTTCTTCTCACCATCTCAAAAACCTTAAACAAAAACAAAGTTACAAGTTGTGAGGCAGCAAGTAGCATAGTGGTTGAGGCACTGGATCCCACATAGCCAGCTCCGGGTTCAAGTCCCAGACCCAGCATGGCACATGTTTATGTGTGGCCAAAATCCCAAGAAGGGAATGGAGGAGAAGGGATTGCCATGTAGCCATTCCCCTGGGGAGTCACATTTCACCTTCTGTCTCTTGTCTCTGGTGAGCACACATACCCCATGGCAAAATTCTAAAAATAAAAAGTTAAAAAAATTTACAAATTGGTGCTGGTGCCATAGTGCAGTGGTTAAGCACTGCGTATAGGGAACAGATCCCACATGGCTAACCATGGTTCAAGTCCCCACCCTGGCAGCTTCAAAAATGCCTAGCATGGGACCAGCAGATGGCATAATGGTTTCGTTGCTGGACTCCTACATGGCCAACCATGGTTTGAGTCCTGGACACAGAGGCTTGAAATTCACACTGGGTGCATGCACATGCATGCCCAAAATCTAAAAAGAAGAATGAGGAGAGGGGATTATTACAGTTTGGCCATCCCTCAGGAGGTGATTTCACTGTCTCTCTCTGGCAAGCACATATGCCCTACAGAAAAAAAAAAATCTTTGTCCAGTGCAAGTGTTTGTGAGCCCAAAATCCTGATGGGATGGACAAATGGAGGAAAAAGGATTTGAATGTCCACACCCAAATGGGGTGGACTGGGAGGATTGCTCTCTCCCTCTCACAAAAAAAAAAAAAAAAAAAAAAAAGTTTTTTAATGTATAAGAAAAAGCTTTTGGGCAAAGCAGTTGGCGTAATGGCTATGTCACTGGACTCCCATGTAGTTGACCACAGTTCAAGTCCCGGACCCAATGGCTTAAACTTACGCTGGGCGTGTGTGCGTGTGTGCCCAAGATCCCGAGAGGAGAATGGAGGAGAAGGGTGTGGCCATGCCCCCAGGGGGTGACTTCTCACTCTCTGTCTCTCTGTCTCTCTGGCAAGCACATGCGCCCTATAGCAAAAACCTCTCCGAAAGGAAAAGCTTTCAAGGTTTTTTTCCCTTGGAATTTTTCATTTCATATTTTCAGATTGCAGTTGACTATGGATGACTAAGACCACAGAAAAGAAGCCACCGCGTTATAATCGCACCCCAAATCCTGTCAACTTTACCTTCTTCTTTTTTTTTTTTTTAAGATTTTTGCCATAGGGCGCATACACTTGCCAGAGAGACAGAGACAAAGAGAGAGATAAAGTGAGAAATGACCCCTGGGGGATGGCCACACCGCAATCCTTCCTCCTCCATTCTCCTCTCAGGATTTTGGGCACACGTGCACGTGAACCTGGCGTGCTTTACTGCTGGGTTCGGGACTCAAACCACAGTCGGCTATATAGGATCCAGTGCCTCAACCACCACACCACCTGCTGGCCCCAACTTTACCTTCTTAATCCATCTGTGGAATCCATCCTGTTTGCATGGTTTTTACCCTGGTTTTTACCCTCATTTCTCTCCTGAACAGCAGTCTGCCAGATTGGCTCCCCATTTTCCGTCTTCATAGCCCCGCCAGAGGGATCTTTTCATAACTGGCCATGTCAGACAGATACACGTGCAGTCCCCACCAAGCCCTCCGGTGGCCTCCCCCTGCTTCTGTTGTCCTGTCAGAAAAGCCATGCTGCATTTTTGTGTAGAAAAGTGCATCAATACTTTCAGACAACCCAGGAGCATGAACACCAGAGTCCCTGCCTTGGCCCACAAGGCCCAGTATGGCCCTGCCCTTTCCCCTCGCTCTCTGGGTTCTCGCCACACCACACTTCTATTCTCGAATTGTCCTGCGTCCTGACAGGACAGGAACATGAACTCTCGTACACCGAGCATTCTGGCCGCCCATTCCCTTCTCCGCTCCACTGGTTACTTCCCGGGCTAGCTCTTATCACAGCTATAATTTGGCATTTAGTCCCACGATCATTTAATGTCCTGTGAGCGCTGTGAGTGCAAGGGCTCTCCGTTTTGCTCCCTGTTGGGCATTTAAGGACTGACATGCCCAGCGTGTTGCAGGCGCTCAGTACACGTTGAACAGGTCACGAGTTCCGCCAGAGAGCTCCCGGCAATACCTTTCAGCCTTTACGTGAGACCCTGATGTTAGGGCAGGTGGGGAGAGGGTGATAGGATCTGTTATATCATAGGATCATTTAGGAGTTTGAGTCATGTCCTTAGGTTAGAAAATACCTCTATTGCTGGGGCCAGCATGTGGCATGGTGGTCGAGGCACTGGACTCCCACATCGCCGACTATGGTTCAAGACCTGGACCTGGAGATCACTTTCTGGTGAGCACACATGCTGTGTAGCGGGTTGAGAAATAATAATAAGAGACAAAGTTGAACAAACAATTGTTTTTTAAAAAATAAAAAATTTATATTGCTTACTACATCTTTCTCTACGGTGCTCTCAAAAGTGATTCTTTTCAGCATTTTCTGGCAAAAATGGAAAAACTTTGGATTCTAAATGTGTATGGGAACTTTTTTACAGGTATTCATAAGGTCCCCAGATTAGATGGGATGTCAAAAAACCCTACAGGGAAAAACAGAGAAAGCGTTCCAGTTAAAGATAATTTTGAATTAGAAGTACTTCAAGGACAATACAGAGAACTTAGAGAAAAGGTAAGTGACCTAACTTGGGGTTTTGTAGTTAATTCATTCCTTAGTCATGTGTTAGGAAGCGCTGTACAATAATGTATACATATATACACACACACACACATATATATATATAATATATGGGGTTTTGTAGTTAATTCATTCCTTAGTCATGTGTTAGGAAGCGCTGTACAATAATGTATACATATATATCCACACACACACATATATATATATAATATATGGGGTTTTGTAGTTAATTCATTCCCTTAGTCATGTGTTAGGAAGCGCTGTACAATAATGTATACATATATACACACACACACACATATATATATAATATATATGGGGTTGTTAGGAAGCGCTGTACAATAATGTATACATATATATACACACACACACATATATAATATAATATATGGGGTTTTGTAGTTAATTCATTCCTTAGTCATGTGTTAGGAAGCGCTGTACAATAATGTATACATATATATACACACACACACATATATAATATAATATATGGGGTTTTGTAGTTAATTCATTCCTTAGTCATGTGTTAGGAAGCGCTGTACAATAATGTATACATATATATACACACACACACACATATATATATATAATATATGGGGTTTTGTAGTTAATTCATTCCCTTAGTCATGTGTTAGGAAGCGCTGTACAATAATGTATACATATATACCCACACAAAAAAAAATATAAAATATAATATATGGGGTTTTGTAGTTAATTCATTCCTTAGTCATGTGTTAGGAAGCGCTGTACAATAATGTATACATATATATACACACACACACACGTATATATATATATAATATATGGGGTTTTTTAATCATTGTTTTTATTTATTTATTTAAACTTGACCAGAGAGGCATAGAGTGAGAAAGCGAAAGCAAGAGCAAGAGTGGGAAGTGAGAAAGCCGGCCGCCAGGTCCAGGGCTCCAACCACGGTCGGCCACGTGGGAGTCCAGCACCTTACCCACCATGCCACCTGCCAGCCCCCAGTAAAATATATTTTGTATACATTTTAAAACTTACATAAAGTCTAGAATCATTCCCATGAAGTGGGAGAAAGCTAAAACCAGGAAATTTAGGCTGAAAGAAACTAAATGGTGAATTTCTAGGATCAAGGCATGGGAAGAAACACTACAGAACAGACCCAGAAAGACAGGAACTGTCAGGGCACTGAGGTGAATTTACGCCATGTACCTTTATACAAAGAGCACATCATAATGGTTGCAGTGTCATTAGCAGTTGTGCGAGAAAGCAGACCTCCTTTATACAATCAGCTAAGGGTCCCTAAGAAAATGAAGAACTGGAGGTCGGCAGGTGGCATGGGAGTTACGGGCAGCTGGACTCCCACATGGCTGATCACGGTTTGAGTCCTGGACCTGGTGGCTTGCTTTCTCATTTCCAACCCTCCTCTGTCTCTCTATAGTCAAATTGAAATAAATAAATGAAATTAAATTAAATAATTTTTAAAAGAATTATTGTATTTCATTTCATTTATTTATTTATTTTAACTTGACTAGAGAGAGAGGGAAAGTGAAAAAGCAAACTGCAAGGTCCAGGACTTAAACCATGGTTAGCCATGTGGGAGTGTGCAGCATGTCCAACACCTTAACTACCATGCCATCTGTTGGTTCCCAATAAAATAATTCATTTGTTTTAAAGAATTGTTTTTTTATTATTATTCTCCAGTTTGTTCTGCGAGAGACAGAGCGGTAGAAAGCAAGTCGCCAGATCTGAGACTCGAACTGTGGTCGGCCATGTGGGAGAGAAAAGAAAAAGAAAACCAGGAATCTAATGTGGACTTTTAATCTGTAAAGTGTGTAATCCAGATTGTTAAATGCACGTTAGAAAACCTTTATGGGGTTGGGACCAGCAGTTAGCGTAATGGCTATGTGGCTGGACTCCCATGTAGTCGACTGCGGTTTGAGTCCTGGACTTGGCGGCTTAAATACACGGTGGCTTAAAGTCATGCCGGACGTGTGTGCATTAAGGCGCTGGACTCCCAAATGGCTGACCACAGTTCAAGTCCCAGACCTGGCAGCTTGTTTTCTCACTTTCCCTCTCTTTCACGCTCTCTCTCGTTCTGTCCCTCTCTGGTCAAATTAAAATGAATAAATAAAGTTAAATAAAATAATTTTTTTTTTTTTGTAAGAAAAAGAGAAAAAAGAAAGCCTTTACATGTGGGGGCCAGTAGGTGGCATGGTGGTTAAGGGTGCCGGGCTCCCACGTGGCCCACCGTGGTTCGAGTCCTGGACCTGGCAGCTTTTTCACTTTATCTCTCTCTTGCTGGTCAAATTTAAATAAATAGATAAATAAAGGTAAATAAAATAATTATTTAAAAAATTTAAAAAGAAAATGTTCATATGTGAGTGACTAGTGTCCTATGAAGAGGCCTAGTAGGCCGTGGCGATGTCTGGTTGGTATAGTATATTTTGAGCACTCATTCATTCACAGGACGTGTGTTTCCTGTGCTTTCTCCATCTCCCCAGCTACTTGTTAAAATAAAATTTGGAAATAATGTTCCCTTACCATCCTCTCACAAGATTGTTTTGGATTTACAGCTGAAGGCAATGGAGGAAGAAGTCCTCGTTAAGAATGGGGAAATTAAAATTCTGCGTGACTCCCTGCATCAGACAGAATCTATTCTAGAGGAACAGAGACGATCACATTTACTCCTAGAGCAAGAGAAAGCCCAAGTGCTCAGTGAGAAAGAAAAGGAATTCTCCAAAAAGGTGACCCAGAACTTTTTGTAAAAAACAAAATAAAACGGGCTGGCAGGTGGCATAGTGGTTAGCAGTGCTGGAATCTCACATGGCTGACCACGGTTCAAGTCCTGGATCTGGCAGCTTGCTTTTTCACTTTTCTACTTTCTCACTTTCCAACTTTCTCACTCTCTCTCACTCTGTCCTTCTCTGGTCAGATTAAAATAAAATAAAATAAATAATATAATTATTTAAAATAAAAAGATAAAACAATGGGACCAGCATGTGGCATAGTGGTTAAAGTGTTGGACTTCCACATGGCCGATCATGGTTTGAGTTCTGGACCTGGCAGCTTCAAATTTATGCTAGACACGTGTGAGTGTGTGCCCAAAATCCCAGGAGGCGAAGGGATTATGGCATGGCCATCTCCCCTGTGGGGGCCAGTAGGTGGCATGGTGGTTAAGGGTGCCGGGCTCCCACGTGGCCCACCGTGGTTCGAGTCCTGGACCTGGCAGCTTTTTCACTTTATCTCTCTCTTGCTGGTCAAATTTAAATAAATAGATAAATAAAGGTAAATAAAATAATTATTTAAAAAATTTAAAAAGAAAATGTTCATATGTGAGTGACTAGTGTCCTATGAAGAGGCCTAGTAGGCCGTGGCGATGTCTGGTTGGTATAGTATATTTTGAGCACTCATTCATTCACAGGACGTGTGTTTCCTGTGCTTTCTCCATCTCCCCAGCTACTTGTTAAAATAAAATTTGGAAATAATGTTCCCTTACCATCCTCTCACAAGATTGTTTTGGATTTACAGCTGAAGGCAATGGAGGAAGAAGTCCTCGTTAAGAATGGGGAAATTAAAATTCTGCGTGACTCCCTGCATCAGACAGAATCTATTCTAGAGGAACAGAGACGATCACATTTACTCCTAGAGCAAGAGAAAGCCCAAGTGCTCAGTGAGAAAGAAAAGGAATTCTCCAAAAAGGTGACCCAGAACTTTTTGTAAAAAACAAAATAAAACGGGCTGGCAGGTGGCATAGTGGTTAGCAGTGCTGGAATCTCACATGGCTGACCACGGTTCAAGTCCTGGATCTGGCAGCTTGCTTTTTCACTTTTCTACTTTCTCACTTTCCAACTTTCTCACTCTCTCTCACTCTGTCCTTCTCTGGTCAGATTAAAATAAAATAAAATAAATAATATAATTATTTAAAATAAAAAGATAAAACAATGGGACCAGCATGTGGCATAGTGGTTAAAGTGTTGGACTTCCACATGGCCGATCATGGTTTGAGTTCTGGACCTGGCAGCTTCAAATTTATGCTAGACACGTGTGAGTGTGTGCCCAAAATCCCAGGAGGCGAAGGGATTATGGCATGGCCATCTCCCCTGGGGGGGTGATTTCTCACCTTCCCTTTCACCGTCTTTCTCTCTCCCTGGCAAATGCAAACAGCCTATGGCAAAAAAAAAAAGAAAACAAAACAGAAACAGAAACAAAGCCAACGTGTTTCCACCGAGATATGGCACCTTGGCCATCTCGATCTGGGCAGTTTCTATTCATCATACTCGATCACCCCAACCATGGTGAAGATGGGTATTATATTACAGATCAGCTTGGTTTTAGAGTGGCTATCTAAATGGTGAAGCTGGTATTTGAACCCTCACAGACTGCCCTCACAATAGTTAGAGTCAAGTGTTTTTCTAGCGTGCCACGCTGTCTTTCAGGAAGAAAGCTAACGTGGGATGTTTTCGGTTGTTTATATCACAGCAGACCTTCCTATGTATTGTTCACTGGTCTCCTTTACGAGCTTGGACTCACAAGCCCAGGGTGTCTTCGTGTATGTGATGGGGCCATTACAACTGTTGCTTTTGCCTTCCAGCTGCAGTCGTTACAGTCTGAGCTCCAGTTTAAAGATGCAGAGATGAATGAATTAAGGACAAAGCTCCAGAGCAGCGAAAGGGTGAATAAACTGGCTGCTCCCTCCCTCTCCCGTGTCAGGTAATGATGGTGCTGAAGGGACAGTTCCATTTTGCCTGTTTACTAGGAAGCCTCCATGTCCAGTCAGGCTAGCCCTGAAGGATGGCCACTGGGCTGAGAGCCCCTGCTCAGGAGGTCGAAGGTGGCTGGATGAAGCTTGAATGATTTGAGGCATCGCAGCATAAGGCCTGCAGTCCACAAGCACTTCCGTGTGGGGACTTCCTAGACACAATTCTTCAGGACTAGAGGAAGCTGATCATTTTGAGGATGGTCTTTTTTTTTATCTTTTAAGAGAGATTTTTGCTGTAGGGTGCGTGTGCTCGCCAGCGAGACAGAGAGACAGAAAGCAAGAAATCAACCCCCCCCGGGCGGGATGGCCACGCTGCAGTCCCTTCTCCAGTCTCCTCTCAGGATCTTGGGCGTGCACACACATGCACCCAGCATGAGTTTAAGCCACTGGTCCAGGACTTGAACTGTGGTTGACTCTGTGGGAGTCCAGCGATGTAACCTTTACGCCATCTGCTGGTCCTATCCAGTCTTCATATTTATGTAACGTGTTTAATAGAACTGATTTTGCTGTAAGCATGAGTGTATGTCAGTCCCAGGTACTTGGAGTGCGTCTTCTGTTTATTGCCCTGGACTCTTTGTCCAGCAGCCCCCTTGTTTGCTGACAGCTGCACTCAGCTTGTTAATGGGCTGTGTCCTGTCCTCTGCCTGTCTGGACCAGCCTTACGATTTGTTCTGGTATTGGATATTCTTGGCTGCCTTTGCTCCTCATGGACGAGGTGTGAACCTGAGCTCTCCGTGCTTCGCGTAGTCCAGGGGCAGCAGGAGCGCCGAGCACCTGTCCTCTCCTCCTCATGTTGAGCAGAGGCCTCAGCACTCGTGGTTGGAGCAGAGGGCTAAGGCCGCTTCTCCCCTGACCTGGGTGCCGAGGAACCTGCTCGGTCTCTGCACACCTTCTAGTAGACTTGCTCGCCATTGAAAGTCCTCAGATTCAGCCCCCGACTGAAGCAAATAGGTTGTTCCATAGCGAGAAGTTGCTTTGGTGAAATTGGAAATAGTGAAGGAATTATAGCTATATTTTTAAGTGAGCAGAAGTACTTTTCCAGGGACCAGCAGATGGCCTAATGGTTACATTGCTGGACTCCCACGTAGCCAACTGCAGTTGAGTCCCAGACCTAGTGGCTTAAACCTCACACTGGGCGTGTGTGCGTGCCCAAGATCCTGAGAGGAGGATGGAGGAGAAGAGACTGTGGCATCGCCATCCCCTCAAGGGAGTGATTTCTCGCTTTCTATCTCTCTGTCTCTCCAGTGAGTACATGTGCCCTATAGCAAAAATCTCTGGGGACGAGCAGTTAGTGTAATGGCTATGTCACTGGATTCCCATGTAGTCGACTATGGTTTGAGTCTCAGACCCAGTGGCTTAAACTCACGCCAGGTGTGTGTGCACACGTGCCCAAAATCCCGAGAGGAGAATGAAGGAGAAGGGGTTGCAGTGTGGCCATCCCCCCAGGGAATAATTTCTCACTTTCTGTCTCTCTGTGTCTCTCTCTCTGTCTTTCTGGCGAGCACACGTGTCCTATAGCAAAAACCTCTTAAAAAAAAAAAAAAATCTCTGTTAAAAAAAAGGTACTTTTCCAGGGCCAGCAGATGGCATAGTGGTTACCTTGCTACTCTCCCTCATGGCTGAGAACGGTTCGAGGTCCAGACGCAGTAACTTAAAACTCAAACCGAGCCACCATGAATGCCCAAGATCCCAAGGGGAGAAGGGATTATGACGTGGCCATCCTCCCTGGAGACGATTTCTGACTTTCCCTCTCGCTGTCTCTGTCTCTGTCTCTTTCTCTGGCGAGCACATGTACCCTAAGACATAAACCTTTTGAAAAAAAGAAATACTTTTCCAATAATTTGCATCAAAATGTCTTATTTTACACTGCTATCTTGACATAGAATGGCCAGAACAGAACAGAGAAAACCTTTGGTCAGAACATCGAAACATAACAAGTCGAAAGCATGTTAGAAGTTTTGTAACCATTTGAAGTGGTTTTAGCAGAGTCATTGCTTTGCTCTCACAGTTAACTTTCTCAGTCCTAGGAAAAGCCCTTCTGTGGGTGTGAAGCCAGAAGCGTGTTCTACACAATTTGGAAAAACATCCTTCCCTACAAAGGAGTCTTTTAGTGCCCACATGTCCCTTTCCCACCCCTGCCAGGCCGAGCCAGGGTACAAGTCTCTGGTGGGCAGAGAAGGTAAGTCCATCTGTTTGTCATCTATCCATGTTTAACAGATTACCCAAACTGGTGGTTTCAAACAACACTCATGGGGCCAGCAGGTGGCATGGTGGTTGAGGTGCTGGATTCCCACATGGCCAACCGCAGTTCAAGTCCTGGGCCCGCTGCTTATTGTCTGTCTCTCTCTCTTTGCTAAGGGCACATGTCCTATACCAAATTAAAAATAATAATAAGGGGCTGGCAGGTGGCGTGGTGGCTAAGGGCGCTGGACCCCCACATGGCCAACCGCAGTTCAAGTCCCAGATCTGACAACTTACTCTCTATCTCTCTCTTCTCTCTCTCTTGGTTTATCTCTGGTCAAAATTGAAAAATAATGATAGTAAATACATAATTCTTTTTTTTTTGGAGAGGTTTTTGCTATAGGGCGCATGTGTTCGCCAGACAGACAGAGACATAGAGACAGAAAGCAAGAAATCACCCCCTGGGGGGATGGCCACGCCGCAATCCCTTCTCCTCCATTCTCCTCTCGGGATCTTGAGCACGCACGCACACGCGCCTGGCGTGAGTTTTAAGCCACCGGGTCCAGGACGCAAACTGCGGTTGACTATGTGGGAGTCCAGCGACATAGCCATTACGCTAGTTGTTGGTCCCCAATAAATAATTCTTTAAAATAAAATAATAATAATAATAATAAGGGGCCAGCAGGTAGCGTGGTGGTCGGGCTTCTAAATCCCCACGATTGACCATGGTTTGAGTCCCGAACCTGGAGGCTACTTTCTCACTTAAAAAAAGATCCCCACGGCTGCGCCAGCCAGCGGTTAAGGCAGGTGGAGTCCACACGACCCACTGCAGTTCGAGTCCTGGACCTAGCGGCTTGAAACACGCCAGGTGCGTGTGCGTGCATGCCTAAAGCCCCAAGAGGGGACTGGAGGAGGAAAGGGATTTCAGAATGTCCCCACACACACACAGAGTGATTTCTCACTTTCTCTTTTTTCTCTGTCTCTGTCTCTCTCCAGTGAGTATACATGCCCTATAGAAAAATTACAGAAATCATTTTAGAAATAAATACTTCCAAAAAATAACAAAAGAGCACTGCCTGCGTCCCCCTGGTTTCTGGGCAGCAGTTCCGGGCGCAGCTCACCTCTGCTGGACTGGAGCCACCGAAGCAGGTCCAAGGCTAGAGATGTGTTTCGCCGCGCTCGCTCACGTGGCAGCCCCCTAATTCCTGCCCCCGCGGGCCTCTCCGCAGGGCTGCTAGGTGTCCTCGTCCTCTGGTGGATGGCTCCCCAAGCTCACCGACCTGGGGAGCCGACCCCAGAAGTCACGTAGTGTCACTGCCGCCATGCCCTGTCCGTTGGAAACAGGCCCCAGGCCTGGGCTTGGCGTATTCCAGGGCAAGGAAGCTGGGCTGTGCCTTTCCGGGGGAGGTGGGTGGAGGGTTTGCAGGCATATTTGAAAGCTGCCAGTCGGCATCCGCCGGCCACACCAGAGACATAGTGAGTGTGCAGGGGCCTGGACTCCTTCCTAGGCCAGCCTGAGAGGGTGCTGCTGCTTTCCAGAACAGTCGCCTTGCGTCAGGAGGTCTCACTCTGACGGTACTGTGCCCGTCAGTGACACCGACTCTTCCCACCTTTGACCTTTCCAAACCAGGGGCCACCAGACCACGTATGAGAGACGGCAGCCCAGTCACATGTTGGTGTCCGGCAGCTAAAGGGGCAGTGCTGGGTGGTGTCATGATCAGGCTGTGGGGCCCGATGGCCTGGACCACGCTGCTGGGTTTTGGGGCAAGTCCTAACCCTAACCTTTGCACCTCAGTCCCCTCGATGTCAGTGAGAGCCAATGCTAGCGCTCCCGAGGGCTGCTGTGAGGAACACGCGCTGGTCTGTGTCGAGCCCTTGAAACGGTGTCTAACGGTGACGATGTCCCATCACCTCACTGCGAAGGGTTTTGTCTTCGTCTCCTGGCGAGCTGTTACTCAGGAAGGCAGAGATGGGCTCCCTGCTGCTTCAGCTCTTGTTTCGGTCCAGGCTGAAGAAGCCCCAAGCAGGACTCCTGAGAGTTTGAGACTTGTTGCGTCTGAGAGTTTCTGATATGCCCGTGCTTTCGAGCTCAAGCTTTGATTCCCATTCGATCTGGTTTCAGATAAGACTCACAGCCTGAGGGGCGACCTCATAAAGCAAGAAGACGCCCCGAGGAGTCTCATCAACAGCTGGGTGCAGAGCTCGAACACTCAAGGTACCAGAATTCCTGTCCTCCTGCTGGGCCTACGTGGCCCCGACTGCCTCTGCAGTGTGCGGTGGGTTACCTGGGGCGCTGGCCGGGGTCAGCCCCAGGCCGTCCCTCAGAGAGCCAGCGCAGTGGGAGTCTGCGACTCACATAGAAGACGGGAAGGGGCCAGAGCAGGGCTGTCCCAGAGCCTTCTGACAGCTAAGAGGACACCGGCTTCCTCCCTATAGGGAAGGTCTCCCGTGTCAGAACTTTCTAGAGTCTCCTTGTCTTTTGCAGGTTCCATTTTGATAAACTTGCTTCTGAAGCAGCCTCTGACCCCAGGGTCACCCCTCGGTCTCTGCCACCTCCTGAGTGGTTATCCTGAGGCTCCCACTGGCACCCTTCTGCAGCCGTCGGGGTTAGCCAGGTAAGCAGGGGCTTCTGGGAAGGCTGTTGGGGAAGGGGTTTTCGGGAATCCGGGCCTTTTGGGCCCCGGCCAGCCCGGGAGGGCTGTGGGCAGACAGACCAGACAGCCTGGCTGGCGGGCTGCTCGGGCCGACCTCAGCTCCATCCCATACTCACCTGCTTTCTTTTGCCGTCAGCACCTTGGCTGGGATTTCGGGCCTCAGGACTACAGGTTCTCGCGATAGGCCGTTCTCCCTCTCAGCTCTGAGAGAAGCACAGACCCTGGCACTGACTGGGCTGAACCTGATCTCCAGAAACGAAGATTCGGCTGACAGAGACCCAGCAGAGGGAGGCGGAAGGGCCTTCCCGCTGTGCCGGCTGGCCGGCGCCGTGCACCTCCTCCCTCTCGTGCAGCTCTTCATGGGCGCGTACTGCCAGGCACTGCAGGACCTGGCAGCTGCGAAGAGAAGCGGAGCCCCCGGTGACTCGGCGACGCGCCCCTCCTGCGTGAGCTCCGGGGTGGAGGCCAGCCCTGAGGACTCCCTTTGCAACCTGGAGAGCTGCTCTGTGGCCTCGCTCAGCGTCCTCCAGCACCTGGTGTGCCACAGCGCCGCTGTCGTCTGCCTGCTGCTGTCAGGGGTGGAGGTGGCGTCTGCTGTGGGGGCCGGCTGCAGGGTGCACAGGCATGGCCCCAGAGAGGGGGCCTCGGCACCAGCGGAGGCTGCCGAGGACCAGGGACAGCACCCACTGCTGGAGACGCTGC